TTTTTTTTTTTTTTTAAACTTTCTGATTCCTTTCCCCCCAATCTAAATGAAACATTGTCCTCAATGTAAAGATTAAACGTGTAAAATATATGAAGGACAGTAAGGAGCAAAATTTTGAACAAAGGGACGGGTTTTGAGCTTTACTTGGAGAGTCGACATAAACTTGGCCTAAATGAACCTTCAATTTCGTTAGTAAAAAAAAAACGACAATAAAAGAAACAAACCTAAAACAAACAAACAACATTATAAAACTGAAAACGAACATACAAAATAAAACAGTGAGAAAATGATATCAATATTTAAGATCATGTAAAGCAATTGACTCTTTTAATCTAGAGAAATTCTCAAAAAATGGTTTCAAACGATGTCCATTAACTTTAAAAATATTTTCATTACTTGGATTTTCAATTTCTACAGCTCAATGTGGGTAAACAGTTTTGACAATGAAAGGAGTAGTTCACTTGGAGCGTAATTTTTCAGGAAATAACTGTAACCTTAAGTTGTACAAAAGAACATTTTGGGAAGGCTTAAAAGTTTCTCTAACAATGTTTTTATTATGGAATACCTTCATTCTTTCCCTATAAATTTGAGAGTTCTCATAAACTTCATTCCTGATTTCTTCCAACTCGTTCAGTTAAAGTTTCCTATAGTCGATACACATGCGCCGACCAGTAACAGTTCTAGTTGGAATTAACTCATTTTCTTTAGTTTGGACTACAGTAATACCAGATTTTTTTGGTACAACTTAATAGGATAAATGATTTCATTATCTAAGAGTTTAATGACTTCATTTCTTACCACCTCTTTTAAAACAGGATTAAGCCTTCGTTGCATTTCTCTTGTAGGTTTAGCAATAAATCTTATGTGTGTAAATCAAAGGACTAATCTCCTTTATATCAGCTATGGTCCATCCTAAAACATTTTTATGCATTTTTAAAGTTTACAACGACTTACCTTCTTGGTGCTCATCAAGTTGGGAAGAAATTACTATCGGAAAAGTTTCATCTTCACCCAAAAATGAGTATTTCAGATTAGATAGTAATGGCTTCAAGTCGAGCTTTGGCATTTGAACACTTGAAATCATGGACATATTGGACTGTTGTGATAATTTTTCAAACTTTGATTTCCAATGACTTGTCTTTTTCTCCTAAAATGAATTCAACAAAGAAATTATATGCGAATTTTTAGAATTATCGTTAAATTCAAATTCCAGCGCATCAGATGAAGATGTAGCGATAAACTGATCATTAACAAATTGTTCAATAAAATCTACTTCATGCAAATCATCTTTATCTCCATGTTACTTGCAAATGTTAAAAATATTCATTTCCACAGTCATATTTCCAAAAGAGAGTTTCAAGATACAATTTCTACAATTTATCAACGCATTTGAAGTAGCAAGAAAGGGACGTCCTAAAATGACAGGTATTTGTGCATTTGAATTTAAAACAGGATGTGTGTCCAAAACTATGACATCAACAGGATAATAGAATTTATCAATTTGAACTAGAACATCCTCTACAACCCCTTTTGGAACTTTTACTGAACGATCAACAAGTTGAAGTGTTGTTGCTGTTGGTTTAAGCTCTCCCAAATCAAGTTGCTCATACACAGAAAAAGGTAATAGATTAACACTAGCACCAAGTCAAGCAAAACACGCTCTATCTTATTATTCCCAATCACACAAGAAATTGTTGGACAACCAGGATCTTTGAATTTAGATAGAGTGTTTTGTTGAATGATTGAGCTCACATTCTTTGTCAAAAATGCTTTTTGTTGAACATTAAATTTCCTCTTGATAGTGCACAAGTCTTTTAAAAATTTTGCATATGAAGGAACTTGTTTGATTTCATCCAATAATGGTATGTTAATTTTGACTTGTTTGAAAAGTTCAAAAATTTCAGAATTATGGTTCAGTTTTGAAATTGGTTGCAATCGTTGAGGAAATGGAGCTGGAGTGGGACATTTTTCAACACTAGGTTCATAAATGATTTTTTCCTCGGTTTTGGAAACATCATTTTCTTGCTTTGAAGTCCCAACCAATTTTAGTTCTTTTGAAGGGATGATTTTGTCAATAATTTTTCCACTACGAAGAGTTGTGATGGAGTTGGCATTTTCTTGTTGACATTCAGAAGAACTAGAAGCATTTACATTAAATTGCTCAGAAGGATTTGATTGAGGTTGAGCAGGAAATTTACCTTTATCTTGAGAACGCAAAGAAGAGGTCAATGAAGAAAGTGTGGTCTTGATTTCATTGATGGCTTGTGAAGTTTGATTATTAATATTTGCTTGTCCTTGCATAAAAGACTGCAATATTTCCTCAAGAGTCTTTGATAGTGATGGTGGAAAAGAAGGAAATTTTGAAAGCCCTTCAGGTTGTGATATATGAACACGATTATCGTCTCTCCAACTAAAGTTGGGATGATTTCTCCATTGTTGATTATATGTTTCTGAGAATGGAGAAGGAAAAGCCTTTTTGAAAGTGTTCATAGCATTTGCTTGATCATGTAAAACTTCTTTGAAAACTGGGATGTTAGGACAATCATGCGTTGGATGACCAAAAGTTTCTCAAATGCTACAAATTTCATCATTTTGCACGGGTTTAACTTCCTTTACTTTCCTTAATTCCATAGCTTTAACCTTTCTAGACAAACTAGCAATCCTAGCATTTAGATCATCATCTTGACTCAATTGATATTTTCTTCCACTAGAACTAGCAAGACTAGATCTGATTGAGTTTTCGATTAGTTTTACTGTTTGCCAATATTAAGAATTTTCAGCTAGATCTAGAAATTCTAAAGCTTCATCTGGATCTTTATCTAAAAATTCACCATTGCACATCGTTTCTACAAACTGTTTTGTTTTAGGAGTTAGGCGCTCATAAAAGAAATTTATAGTACGCCGTTTTTCAAAACCATGACGTTTGCATGTATTTAACAAATCTTTAAATCTTTATAAACATTGAAAGTACGCTTCATTGGTTTTTTGAGAAAAAATTTGGAGTTGTTTTTTCAAAGCATTAGTTTTATGTGCTGGAAAGAATTTCTTCAAAAACTCATTTTGCACTTCTTGTCATGTGCCAATCGACCTAGGTTTTAAAGAGTTAAGCCAAGTTTTTGTTTTATCTTTTAGAGAGAAAGGAAACAATTTCAACTTAACAATTTCATTGGGATAAGTTTGATCGTTAAATGTGGCACATACTTCCTCAAATTCTTTAAGATGTAAATATGGACTTTCGGATTCTAAGCCATGAAAATTAGGAAGTAATGAAATCATACTTGGCTTGAATCGAAAATTATTAGCATTAAGAGGGAAAATGAAACATGAAGGAGCAGAATTTCGAGGAGGTTGCAAGTAATCACGCATGGTTCGTGTTTGTTGGTTTTCATTTTCATCATGTACGCTTTCATTATCAGCTATGGTGGAAGATGTGAGTGAGTGTTGAGGCGAGTCAAATAAATTACTAAAGAAAGTTTCACAGTTATCTTTAACTAAACGATGAGAATTAAATTCACGATACCAATATGACATAAAATAACATAAAATAGATGTTAAGAACGAAAATTAGGTGGCACGGCCAACCATATAATAATGTAAAGAACAAAAATTAGGTGGCACAGCCAACCATATAATAAAGAAACGACAGATCAGGAGGCTCGGCCTTCCCTTTAAAGAAAGAAAATAAACAAAAAATAAAAAAGGAGGCTTGGCCTTCCTTTAAAGTAAAATAACTAAAGTAATAAGATTGAAAAAGGAACGAGGGTACCTGATTTATGAAGATTATAAAAGAGAAGAAAACCTCACAGAAAGTAGCAGAAAATAATCCTTGACGCAAATCCCCGACAACGGCGCCAAAAACTTGCTACAACTTTAAAGTTGCAAACCCAAGTGCAGGTTGTCGTAAGTAGTAAACTCGAAAGTTCGAGGTCGAACCACAGAGAATTGGAAGGAAATAAACTATTCTGTGAGTGGTAAATGGTTGGTGGAAATACGATGGAGAAAAACACTAGAGCGTTGGGGATTCACTTCGGCTAAATGGGTAGAAATTGCTCTTGATTTTTTATTTAACTCATATGAAAGATAAAGCATTGATTGCAAGTATACTAAAAGATGAATCTTGGTAATTGTTTAAGAGAATATGTTAAAATAAGTTGATGGTATGTATAGATTATCGAAGCATTTATTGTGCCAAAATTGTCAACAATAAATCAAAGTCTTTAACAAACCAAAACCATTTGTAGAACATATACTTCAACCAAGTAAGAAGATGAATATTGAAGAGCAAAGTGAAAGATCAAAAACAATACTACACATTTATCAAAGTTTCACCCCTAGCACTAGCTAATGGTTTAGAAACACATACTGAAATATTACAAAGAAAATGAAGAAAACTAGAATATGATGAAGTGGAATTGATTCTCAAAATCTTGGCCAAGGTCCCCCTTTTATAGGCAAAGGAACATCCA